CATGTAATTCAATTGAAGGATCTTTTTTTGAGTAATTATAAAATAACTATTTAAAATTATATTCACAAACTTGTTTTTGCTAACTGTTATCTTATTTCTATCCTTCTTTGATTATAATGCTTAATCCATTTATGCATGAACTTGAACTTCTCTACCCATATCCATGGCTTTGAAAATGACACATTACTCAGTTACTATATCAAACTTCAAAAATTTGAACCAGAGTTTGAAGAATATTGTTTATGCATTTCATTGCACTTGGCTACTTCACACAAGATTCAGTTGGTTTAGTGATATTAGAAAATCAGATTTTTTGCTATACAGGAGGAACACATCAATGGGCCAAGTATAGAAATGCTTCATAGCTAGCTCAACAATGTGTCACGGGCCTAGAGATTTGGCGCAGCGGCACGGCCCGTGCGGCACCAAGGCGTTGCTTCAGCTCGCGCAAGCGTCCTGGTCAGCCACCACGACCTGCCTTCCCAAGAATACATGCTGACTGGTTTTAACCTGCCTTGGTCTCATCAGGAGAACGGCTCCAGCTCCCGACCAGTTTGTGCAGAGACGGCCAACTCCCTTCTTCATAGTCAAGTCAACGACTAGCGACAAGCTCCTCGCACTCAACCGAGTCAACCTGCCTGAACTCTGAAGAGGTATCATCCTGTGCTCCTGCACGCTCCTTCTCTGGAACCATTCCCAGTCAAACTCTGCTCTTTGCCAACCAACATATGTGTCTTCCATCCTCCAAGTGTATTAGGAATCACTTCGTGACATTCTCCCCCACCCAAATCCTGCAACGCCCTCATCGCAGTGCGACACTTCACTACTGCGTCCATTCCCTTCCAAAGTTTGCCTCCAAGCGGTATGCTCGTCTTCCCACCATCATTTCCTTGTGCAGCTCCTTGCAGTGCACTCGCCCAATGATAGGCCTTGGACCAAGGGGACGTCCACTCCTCAAGGACATGACTCTTCTCCGTCATGCCGCCTCCGCGACATCCCGAGCAAGCAAAGGCCTCCCGCTGACTTGATGCTCACCCTTTACCATGGTTTGCATCACACAAGGACTAAGCACGAACTTTGGTGCGCGCGGCTCTCCAGCCCTCCAGTGCGCAACTTCAACGAACGCCTCTTCTTGGGGAAATGGAGGCTCTCTCCCCCAACTGCATTGATTCCTCCTCATCGGCGCAACTTCAGTGCACCGTCTTCATTCTCTGACCCCTCCCGGACCGACAAGGGGGCACCCCACCGTGCTTTACCCTAAGTCCTGCTCTGATACCATTTGTCACAGGCCTAGAGATTTGGCGTAGCGGCACGGCCCGTGCAGCACCAAGGCGTTGCTTTAGCTCGCGCAAGCGCCCTGGTCAGCCACCACGACCTGCCCTCCCAAGGATACATGCTGACTGGTTTCGACCTGCCTTGGTCTCATCAGGGGAACGGCTCCAGCTCCTGACCAGTTTATGCAGGGATGGCCAACTCCCTTCTTCATAGTCAAGTCCATGACTAGCGACAAGCTCCCCGCACTCAACCGAGTCGACCTGCCTGAACCCTGAAGAGGTACCATCCTGTGCTCCTGCACGCCCTTAAACTCTGCTCTTTGCCAACCAGCATACGTGTCTTCCATCCTCGAAGCGTCTTGGGAATCACTTCGCGACAAACGGCACCATTAGCTTTCGAGGTAGGTTTCTCTATATATGTGTGTGTATATATATCATGTCTCTGTGTTTGTGTGTATCACCCAAATCCTTGTAGTATTGAAGAATGTTCTTTTTCTTCCTTGCTTTGGTTCTTTCTATTGCAGACAAACATCCATAGAAGTATTGTGAAAAATAGGATAGCGGGAATGGCTTATTTAACTTGGTATAAGATGAGTTGATTCAAACAAGAAGATAAGAAAAATGTAAAAAAAAAAAAGGTTGCTAGCTTTCTATTTGGTTAATTTTTTCAATTATATTCCCGTCTTTTCTACCTGTTTTTTGTTTATAACAATATTAAAAGTTTATATTAGTTGAATTCTGTCTAATTAATTTAGAAACTCTGCAATGGCATACGATGAATTGTTCCTTGAAGTGATAATTATTTTGTTTCATTGAGAAAATTTTCCCCCCACATTTTGCCCACAATTCCTTCCTAAATTGAGTAAGGATTTTTATTAAGAAGGGAATTGAATATGTACAGTTGCTATTATTTAGAAGGGAATTGAATATGTACCGTTGCTATTAGTGTAGAAGACGGTTTGGGTAGTGGCTTTTGGCATTCTGACTCAAATCCTTCTAAGCCTTGCCTCCATTGTTGCCTTGCCGTCTCTTCGATGCTCGGACTTTTGTCTTTCTCATGTCAGTTTGTGCTTTTCTATGTAATTCTTTACCATGAGTTCTAAATCTGCTCGTGATCAAGTAGAGAGTACGGATTTTGAGAACATTTTCTCCTCCTCCAAAAATCCCTAACCCCCATGACATTTCCGATGACTTTACTGTGAGGAGATAATTCTTCGCATTAGGCGGAGGAATCTACGTCCGGGTCTGAGGGAGTATTTACTGAGGCTGAGAAGGATGTGATTCTGTCACTCCGTTGCCTCAGAGTATCTATCGACTCGTCGTCGAGGAGCTTGAGATTCCTAAGGGGGTGGAGATAGATCAATACCCTTTTGGGATCATAGGACCGGAGATTAGAGAGAACAATGCTTTGGAGACCGACTTGAATCGAACGGCAGATTTCAGTGGTAGAAGCACAAGGAAAATGCATTGCACCCAAGCCACTAACAAACACTCACTACTTGTTTAATTTTTAGTGACAAACAAATTCTGAGTCAATTGGAAAATGCATTGCACCCAAGCCACCGCCTTGAAAAATGGGTCTATAATAATTTTACGCGTAGCATTCAGATTCCAACGTCTTGACATTCAAATTTGTAAAGAATGAGAACCTTCCCAGTTAAAGTATTTTTAATATAGATCTCCATAAATTAGCTTTCCATAAAAACCAAAGGACAGAATTTGCTTGTCACTAAAAATTAAATCATAAAGCACCAATTTTTCACTTATCTTTTTGATCTTTACCTCATGATCATTTAAGATGAAAATTGTTATTAATATAAAATTGTAGCTGTCCATATTCTACTAAAAAAAGTTTTTCAGTGGGGACAATTGCCTCCTCTAATCTAAAAGTTTGGCGAAAAAAAAAAAATTTCTAAAAGTTCATTAACTGCCCATTTCTCTCTCTCTCTCTCTCTCTCACTTCCTTCTCCAATAACGCAACAAATTTTACCATAAGCTGGTAATTGATGTCAACATTCAATGTGAACAGAGAATGGTTCAATGAATGGCTTCCCTCTCTTCATTTTCTTGATATGTGAAAACCTTCAATTGATATAGACTTGTGAGTTTGAACTTTGAACTATTCCCATTATACATCTTTCTTCAAGGTTGTTGGAAATTTAGAGAATTTACTGTGCCTTATCAAGAAGGAAAATTGATTTTAAACAAGCATTTAATACGAAAAAGTATTTAGGATAATGAAAAGAATGAAAACTCAAATAGTGAATTATATGTTCATACGAAGATTGGTTGAATGCTTAGCATTCTTGGATTATTATTTCGTGATTTGTGACTGAATGAAAGCTAAATTGATTGAATGCTTAGGGTTAGTTTGGTTAGCGTGAACTAGCTAGAAAATAAAAGAAACGAAAATTTTTAAATTATTTTATAATTTGGTTAGCGTGAAATGGAAAGTTTTCAGGCAAGTGATATTCCTGCAACTGGTTGGTTTTCCCAAAATGTTTCCTCCATGAAACACACGAAAATTTCAGTTTCCATTATATGTTAGTTTTCAGTTATACCTTTGTCAGTTATTTCTATTCCTTTTTTTTCAGACTCTCAAAAAGAGCAACTTATTTTTAATAAATTAATACTCCTAATTATATTACAACTTTCTGACTCTTTAAATTAGGACTTCTAATTAAGTTACAATTTTCTTACGTTTTAAATTAGGACTCTATATATATGCACGCACATATATTTTTATTCATAAAACAATTATTTATATTTTTTATTATACTTGTTGCATGATTTATATTATTTAGTATTGAATTTATAAGGGTAGTTTTAGCATATAAATCATTTTCTTGCTAATCAAACTAGTGAAACAACATTTTCTCATAATTTTTTTACAAAAAAGTCATACTAACCAAATGCATGATAGAAACATAATTTTCTTTTATTTCACTTTACTTTCTTTTCCTTTCACTTTCCACACTAATCAAACGGACCCATAAAGAAACAGGCAAACACAAGTTCGGGAGAAAATAATATTTTATTGATAATCAAATGAATAATGTGTTTTCTGTTCTTGATAAGGGCACAAAAATTATTTTTTTATATACTCAATATATATATTTTTATTTATTTATATTTTGTAAATATTATTATTGAGATATTTTATGTTTTATTTGTAATAAGTAAAGAATTAGCAGAAAGCAAGCAAAAGTGGAGGATAAATGAAGAATGAAGATGCAACTCAGAAGGTTATATATATTTATAGCCAAATTTCAACTCAAGGAAGGTACAGCAGAGTTGGTTGATGGTTGAGTAACTCAATCAAGACATCTCAGTTCCGAATACATGCTCATCATTGAAAAAATATATATATATATTGAAAGAAGAAAGGGTGCACGTGAGAGCTGAAGAAAGAAGGCAGAAAGGAAAAAAAAAAAAGAAAAAAGAAAAAAGAAGGGCCCAGCTTTATTTTCCGCATTATTTTCATTCCATGTATTAAATGCTTGCGAATTTATTATCATTTTCTTTATGTTAATTTAAATACTTTTTTAATTTCTAATCTAACAGATTAGATGTTTTAAATTTTAGTAAATTAGTTTTCAAAACACAAAAAAATTGTTTTAATATTTATTTTCTTCAAAAAAAAATTTGAATCTAAATTTTAATACGAAGTCTCAATTTGAATATGAGTTTAAGATTACAAGTAATTATATTAAAGAAATCAAAACAAAATCGAACAGCATAACACTAAAATTAACAGTAAAAGTCAATTATCTCTAAAAATTACAAAAAATGGGATAAAAAATGTAATGACTAAAAACTAGTAATTAAATAGGGTAAAGTGGATTAAACCCCCCTGAATTATTTGGGTATGTGCAAGAAACCCCCAAGAACTATAAAAGTTGCAAAAAACCCCCTTGAACTATTGAGGTATGTGCAAGAAACCCCCCTGAACTATAAAAGTTGCAAAAAAACCCCCTGAACTATTAGGGTATGTGCAAGAAACCCCCATGAACTATAAAAGTTGCAATAAACCCCCTGAACTATATATTTTTTTACAGTTTACCCCATCCGCGCGAATTGATTGACTGAAAGGAACGATGAAGCCGTGGAATTTGTGGCTGGGATCGGAGTGGTAGATGTCATCTAAGGAGTGTTTGGATAAGCTAAGGAATCTATTGCTGGGATCGGTGGGTCTCCTGTCATAGCTCCATCATAGCTGTTGCACCACCCGTCAGATCCGTTGGCCATATATATTGCATTTCTTTGCACCATTGCGTCAGCCCATCGCCGTCACTGCCTTGCCCGCCGTTCAGCTCACCTTGCTCGCCGGTCCATTCCATCGTCCATTCCAAGCTCGCCGGCCCATTCCGCCATCTCCATAGTCGAGCACACCACTGTCCGTGTTTCGAGCACACAGCCGTCCACAATTCACCGCCGAGGCCCCCTGAGCTCACTGCCGCCTCCACAGTTCACAGCCGAGTCAACTGAGCTCTCATCACAGCCGAGTCCTTCGCGCACAAGCCGCCATCATCCGAGACCGAGGCATCCCGCCGACCTCAGATTTCTTTGGTCTCTTCTCTCTCTAACTCTCTGTTTTGGGTTGTGTTGGGTGAAAAACATCTTTTGGCAGAAAAAAAAAAAAAAAAAAAAAATTAAGAAGTGTATAAGTTAAAACGACGCAATGTGTTATAAGAGTAAACTGGTCTTTCAAAATTTTCGGTGCCGGAAGCTGATGTCATGGGGGTAAATTGCAACAAAATCATAGTTTAGGGGGATAAATTGCAACAAAATCATAATTCAGGGGATTTTTTGTAGTTCAAGGGATTTTTTTGCAAATGATTAATAGTTCAAGGGGGTAAATTGTAACAAAATCATAGTTCAGGGGGATTTTTTGTAGTTCAGAGGGGTTTCTTGCAAATGACCAATAGTTCAATGGGGTAAATTATAACAAAATCTTAGTTCATGGGTTTTTTTGTAGTTAAGGATTTCTTGCAAATGACCAATAGTTCAAGGGAGTTCAATGCACTTTACCCAATTAAATATAAAAAAATAAAAAGAATTTGAATTGGTTTAGATCTGTAACAAAAAATTCAAAATATTTAATAATCCTTAATTTAGGAGTCTTTGATGATGGAATTCAACTAAGCATACCTCAGCAACAAAGTTTTTGATTTAGATGATGGAATCCTCTATTTTGCAATGCATTTTCCAAGCACAAGGAACGGCAGATCTCCACGATCAGGTCGTGGTTACTGCCAATGATTTCAGCAGCGGCAGAGAAAAATTGGGCCCACGACGGTCTCTGTGCATTCTGGCACCTTCTAATCCTAAAAGCCATTAACGAACACTCACTACTTGTTGAATCCACTTCACACTTGTTCCTCTCTTTGGATGGTTCTAATTAAATGGGTTCTAATTAAAGACTTATATAGGCAAAATGACAAATCCTAATACAATTTGGAAAAGTGTGAAATCCTAATAGAACACTGACAACCTTAAAATAAAATAATTATTAGTATTTGAATAAGTAAGATAAGATTTAGCCTGTTAGAATAGAAGTTGGTGATGCAAACCTCATCAAACAGAGACACCGACGGCCAAGACGATCGGAAGCAGATCTGATCAGAACACAAGGGAAACGGCGAGGCAGGTAGAAAGCTGTCGTCTTTGATTGCGTCTGTCTGCCGGCGAAGCTGATCGGAATAGACAATCGGCGAGTATAAAAAACTGGCACCAGCAGATCTTATCAGAACACAATGGAAACGGCGAGACAGGTAGAAAGTTGTGACCCGAATAGACAATACAGCAGATCCGAAGAGCGTGGGGTAGGTGGTGGCATTACATACCGCACCCTAAACTATTTGAAATTACTTATTTACCCTCACTTATTTATTTATTATAAAAACTACTACTACCTCCGTCCCTTTTTAATTGTCCATTCTTGATTTTATAACTTTTTAAGGGAACATGTAATTAATGCATTGTCCCCCTTTTAAAATTACCAAATTATCTATTTTAATTTAAATATATATAGTTACAAAGTTTGAAATTTTTTAAAAAGATAAAAGGACAATGATGAAAATATAGAAAAAAGATGCTTTGACTTTTCAAAAAGGACAACTAATTTGAGACATGTAAAAAGAGGAAAATGGACTACTAATAAGGAACGGAGGGAGTATAAGATAACAAAACTGTAAAATACCAATAATGCCCTTCACGAAGGCATCTTGCCATTAAACAATAGTTTATTTATTTATTTATTTTTTTTTTTGCACTTTTACCTATTAATAATAATAATAACAATAACAATACTAAAAATATAATATCAATAAGAATACTAGTAGTAATAATAAAGGTTTTATACTAACAACCTTTTAGGTTTGACCAAATATCATATTAAAATAATTTTTAAAAATTGTTATTAGTTACATTACAAACGTTTGTTTTAATTCACTCGCATAGCTACATGCATATGATGTCAGACTAAAATGACTTAAATACTCTTTGACTTTGTCAAAATAACTCTTTAACCAATATAATTAAATAAAAAAACTAAAAATTAAATTATATATCTTTATTACTTTTTAACCTAAATGTTTTGTAAATTTATAAAATAAATTATATATCTTTATTACTTTTTATATACTATATATATATATATATAGGGACTTCTACTCATATTTTTGGACAACAAAAGCCCTATTTTTTTGTTGTTGTTTAGCACGTCTATTTCTGTCATTTTATATTTGATTTTTTTTTTCATCCCTACGTCAACAGTGCGTTTTCCTTATTTGCGACCACTCATCCACAGTCATGGATTCCATAGTTTCCAGCAAGACATGTTTTCTACAACCACCACCATTCCCACATCCATAATCACAATCACAATCACTCTACCCATCCCCACAATCACCAACACCACCACCCACACTCCAAACAGAAAAAAAAAAAAAAAATTTAGGTTTTTGAAAGTTTTGATTTTCATGTTCGTTCACTGGTGACTTAAGGATTTCAATTGTTTATTGAATTTTTCTTTTTTCCGTTTCTTGGTGATGACAATTGGTTCTTGGTAATCTCATTTTTGTTCATGAGTAACAATTCATATCATAATACAAGTAAGTTTGCTTTTGTTAATCCCATTTCAACAATATTGATGCCTAAAGAACATAATTTTATGAGAAACATTATTTCTATTTTTTTTCCATTAACCACAGAAAGCCCGTACAAAGTGGTGGTGGTGGGCATGGCTGTGTAGTGTAAGGCTGTTCGAGAGAGAGAGAGAGAGAGGGGAGTAGGTAGGTGAGAGAAATTAAAGAGGGCAAAATAGTTTATTTAGATTGTTGATATTTTGATATATAAAGTATTTTAAAAAATTAGTGTCAAAATTGTCTTTTTATACATTTTTAACGGTGATAGTAACGAAAAAGTAAAATTAGACCTAAGTAATAATAATTTTCGAAAAGTATTTCAATGTAACATTTGATCAAGTCTCAAGGGGTGCAGTGAAATTAACCCTAAAAATAATAATAATAATAGTAACAATCGTAATAACAACAATAACAATAACAATAACAAAATATAATAATAATTTAAAATAATAACAAAAAAAATAAAATTGTTAGATTAGTTGCTTGATAATTCTATATGCTTACAAACCGTTTTTGTAAGCTCAAAAATTATTAAAAATAAATAAATTATTCAAAATAATAGTAGGTATATGAATTGACATGAATATATATGTGTGTGTGTGTGTGTGTGAACATGTATTAACATATATGTGTTAAATCAAACCTTGCCCCTGTTCATATATAGCAAAAGTGAAAATAAAAAAAAAAAAAAACTTTATTACTATTATTATTATTATTATAACTTGTTATAACTTATTATTATTTTTACTACTATTACTATTATTATTATAACTTATTATTCTCATTAATATTATCATTACATTACTACTATTATTATTATTAATGATGATAATTAAGAATTAAGATGAGTAAAATTAAAAAAGATTTTCTTAAGATAGACTAGGGTTGCAAGTTGGGCTGGCCCAACTCAGCTCAGGCCTAATCCAACCTAAATCCAAAATTGAGTTAGCTTAGTCTGAATTATACCTAAATTCATAATTCATCTGAATATTTTGGGCGGGTCGGACGAGTTTCACAGGTCATTTTTAATTTTATTTTTTATGCAAATTACATTTTCACTTGAAAACTAAAAGATATATGTCATTAAACTTTCTGGTCCTAATAAAAATAGTAAAGACCGGAAGAGAATTAATGGTAGTTTGATAGCTGAAAAAAGGAGGAAAATAAGAGAAATGAAGATTTGGGATCGGAATTGTTGATAAAAGATGTTACTTTTCATGTTCTTTTCCTCCATTTTCTTTGGCAACAAAAGTGGTTCATACTGAACAAGTGAGACACATTTCATGTTTTTTAATTTTCAAAATTCACAAGATTTGGGATCGGAGTTTAATTTATATATTGGTTTTGAAATTATCAAAAGCAAAACATGCAGGGAACATAAATTAACCCAAGAACAGAACCAATTAAAACCGCACCCCAAAAATATAATTGGAAAAACCGAAACTCAAAATTCATTTTTATTTCTAATTGTCTCCTTTTCTTTTACCTCCTTTTCTAACTCTAAATTTACAAAAAAAAAAACTTCATGCCATAGATACTTGAACATATAAATTTTTTTTGGGTTTACACCAAGAGAGTTGAAATAAGAGAACACAGTAATAATAAATTGAGTGAAGGAAGTTCAGTATGTATTGTGTTGAATCTGTTGATCCATATATGTAGAAACAGTTGGATCATACATATCCTACCTGGTGGTGTAGAGCATTTGAAGGATCCGTCCATGCACAATTAATTGTGATTCCTCCTGATCAGATTGAAGGAGACGCTACTTGGGATAGATATAAACTATAGAGATAAAGAAGTACAGCTGAATATATATATATATATAGGGAGATAGAGAGAGAAAATAAAATGAAGGAAAAAAAGAAGAAGAGAGAGAGAGAGAGAGAGAGAGAGAGAGGAGAGAGAAGGGAGACAAAAAATAATAATTTTTGTTTTTTCCTTAAGTTTTTATTTATATATTTATTTTATTTTGGGTTTTTTTGGGTTCAGGTTGAGCCCGAGCCCAAACTGAATATGTTTGGCTTTTGAGAAAATTCAACTCAATTTGAGCCCGATTTGTGAATTTAAAAATTCAAATTTTAATTTTTGAGCTGAATTTGGGTTGGACTGAATTAGCCTGCCCAAATTACACCCCTAGGGCAGACCCTTCTTTCTTTTGGAAAATCGAAATGAAAAGTGATGATGAAGGAATATATACATATTCTTTTGGGTGACATTGCAGTAAAAAACAAAATATAGATCCACTAGAGAAGGATTTATGCGTCAATGGAGGCAGAGCTTCATCTTCCATAATTTTTATTTATTTTTATTTTTTATTCTTTCTCTTAAGTATTTTATTTTTTATTTTGGGTTTTGGGTTAGGTTCAGGTTAGTTTGAGCCCAAATCGAACATGTCTGGGTTTCGAGAAAATTCAATCCAATTTAAACTTGATTTGTGAATTTAAAAGTTCAAATTTCAAAATTTCTGGATTGAGTTTGGGTTGGACTAAGTTAGCTGCCCAAATTACACCATGTGATAGACCCTTCTTTCTTTTGGAAAATAGAAAAGAAAAGTGATGATGAAAGAATATATATACATATTCTATTGGGTGACATTGTAGTAAAAAACAAAATATAGATCCACTAGAGAAGGATTTGTGCGTCAATGGAGGCAGAGCTTCATCTTCGGTGAAGTAGCCAAGTTAGTTACCGACATTAGTCCTTTAAATGAAAATATGTTTTTTTTTTTTTTTTTGAGATAAAAAAATGATATACAAATTTACAATATAACAAAAAGAGGGGGTTAGGCATCATTAGGGGTGCATCTCGGGAGGGTTGGAGATACAACTTAATTAGATCTAACTTGGCGTATGAAATATTCAATTCTAACTTCAATTCATGAATTTTAATACTCGAGTTGAGATTTTGCATTAGAAAGTTGATTAATTTGGATTATCTGTATGGCCAATTTATGTATAATTGAATATGAACTTGAATTAGTTTCACATTAGAATACTCTAAGCACATTTTAAAAAAAAAAAAGAAAAAAAAAAAAAACTTAATGCAAATTTCTAAAAAATTATAAATAAATTTTTGAGAAATTAAAATTTCAAAGTATTACGAACGGGCTAATCACCTAGCAGTATCAGACCCTTACTTTTCAAAAGGGTGTTAGGGAGTCAAGTCTTAGTGAAAGTATGTGTGTAAGTATCAACTAAGGAAAAAAATTTCAAAGTATTAAAATGTGTTAAATTAAGATTTAAATAAAGAAAGATGCAAAGCATTGATCATAATTTAAATTATATATATATATATATATACATATATATATATATATATATATATAAGGGAACTTTGTTTGGGACATAGTGGTATAAAAAAGATACCCTCATCCATTTTTTTGACTGAATGCTACGTTTGGTGTACAAGAATGGAATTGAATAGAATGGAATTGAATGCTCATTCCAACCATTCATTTGTTTGGTATGTAACTTAAAGTGGGAATGACCATTTCATTGGAATGAAAATTCATTCTTGGGAATGAAAATCCATTCCATAATTAAACCTATGGAATGGCCATTCCATTCCCAAGTAATTTATTTTAAAAAATTTACTTTCCAAAACACTCTCATATTCCAAGTCCAAAAACCACCATTATCTTCTACCACATTCATCTCCGCCTTTCACCACTACCACCATCGCCATCGCCTTTCACCACCTTTACCACCACCGCCACCGTTTGCCGAAACCACCACCACCGCTATCGCCACCACCTTCCACTACCACCACCGTTACTGCCTTTCATTACTACCACCACCTTTCACAAACTGCCACAGCCACAGTCCTACACCACCACCGCTGCCTTCCACCACTGCCACCGCCACAGCCCTACACTACCATTACCGCTTTCCACCATCGCCACCGCCACCGCTACCTTTCACCACAATCGCCTTCAACAACCACCAACGCTACCGCTATCGCCTTCTACCACCTTCTATCACCACCATTGCCTTCTACCACCTTCCATCACTAACACCACCACGACCTTCCACCACCACCACTACCTTTCACCACCGCCACCACCACCACTATCACCACCGCCGCCGGCGCTGCCTTCCACCACCACCACCAACACCATTGTCACCACTGCCATTTCCACTACCTTCCACCACCACTGCCACTTCCATTACCTTCCACCACCACTATAGTTACACCACTATCTCCTTCCACCACAACCACCACACTACTGCCACCGCCTTCCACCAATACCACTGCCACCTTCTACCACCACTGCTGTCACCAATTTTCATCATTGCTA